ATCCCAACTGGCAAACTGCTTCTTCAGAAGCTCTCCAGGTTTGTCTTAACTCCTGTTGTGGTGGCTATTTTGGTTTTCAACTTGGCTACATCTGGAATTAGTTAACCCCATGGCTGGGCACACCTGTGAGGATCTTTGCTTAATTAAATCTTTTGAGGTGGGAAGACCCACCTCTAGTCTGGGCCACACCCTCTTCCGGAAGCCTATATAAAGGACATGGAAGAAGGCCGTCTCTTTGCCAGATTGCTCTCTCCCTCGTTAGCAAGTCCACCTCATCACGGGCATTAGAGCCTACTTCATTGGGATTCCAGCATCAACTGGAGACAAGCTGAGACATCTATCCGTGTGGACTGAACAACTACTAGATTCTTGGACTTCCTGTTCATAGGCAGCCATTGTTGGATTAGCTGGACCACAGCCTGTAAGTCATTCTAATAAATACATTATCTATATATAGAGAGATCCATTTGTAAGTTCTGTTACTGTAGAGAACCCTGACTAATATATCTGTGCTCCTTCTCTTTCTGGCAACATGACACAATTAGAATCATCTGAGAAGAGGGAATCTCAACTGAGAAAATGCCTTCACTCGATTAGCCATTGGCACATCTCTAGGGCATTTTTAAAAATGAATGATTGAAGTAGGAGGGTTCAGCCCATTAGCAGCCCTACCACCCCTGGGCAGGTGGTCTTTGGTTGTACAAGAAAATAATTGAGCAAGACAGGAAGCACCATTCCTCCATGGCCTCTGCTTCAGTTCCTTCCTCCAGGTTCCTGCCTTGAGTTCCTGCTTTGACTTCTCCCAGTGAGGAACTATGATCAGGCTCTGTAAGCCAAATAAACCCTTTCCTCCCAAAGTTCCTTTTGGCCATGATGTTTATCACAGCAATGGAAGGCAAACTAAGACAAACCCCCTCCCCCATGCCTTTGCATTCCTATCCATTTTCCAGGTTTGACCTCTCAAGTCTCTTTAATCCTTTAAAGTCATTCTGTAACCTACATATGTACATTAGATACATTTAATGTTGTGTAATATGTGATCAAAGAGTTAAAACCAGTAATTGAGACTGGAATATATTAACTGGTGTTTACTTTTGCCAGGGCTAGGAGGAAAACAGGACTATATGGCAAATTGCTGCCAATGAAAACATTGTACCTTATGAATTTATTGTTATTCATTAAATTCTGACGTTGTAGAAATACAAACACGTTTGTCTCTTTCTGACAAAGCACATCATACCAGCTACCTAGAAATATCCTCTTGTAATAAAAATAAGAGCAAAAACAGTAACAAGCAAACAAACAAGAGCCGACAAAATCAAAACAAGAGGAAGTCTACGTGAGTGTCTGGGGGGAGCCATGTCACATCCAAATCATCACAGGTCCTTGCTTGGTTAGTTTATTGGCTCTCCGGTGATTAGAGACTTCCTCAAGTTCTTCCTGTGCTTAGAGTTCCGGCTGTGTGTGCGTGCTGGGCTTGTCTTCAATTCTTAGGCAGGCATTGGCAACCCTTAATTGTTACATCCTGCTCACCCCCAGTCTCAAGGTGGGAAACTGGGGGCTGTTTCACGTCTTTCCTGGGCATGCACTTTTAGAATTTCAGAAGTATTTCTTATCTTTTCAACTCCTTCCTCCATGGACTTCTCATTCCTCATGAGTAATAAAAGTAATTTAGAAAGTTTTTGTTATTACTTTTATTTTTTTATGTGTATGGATGTTTTGCCTGCCTGTATGTCTGTATACCACATGCAAGCTGTGACTGTGGAATACAGCTGTCTTCACCCCCATCCCACCCAGGGCAAAAAGCTCCATTTCTATGAGTCTTGGGGAGTAGGACTTTTTGAAGTGCTCAAGTCCCTTCAGTTAACAGCACTAGGGCAACTTTCCACAGCTCTGAGGGCTTCAGAACCCATGGTACTCTAGCCTATGTATATTTTCTACCAAAACTACTCATACATATAAACATCATTTTTAATGGTCTAAGAGAACGTCTCATGTAGGATGGCTCTAGTCCTTAGTTCTTGTATTAGCTATTTATTGCACATAGATGGTTTAAGTTGGTATGCTCTTCAGCACTCCCACAGGGCTTGTTAAAAACAGGGTCCAAGGTAGGGCTTGGGAATTTACATTTCCAGTGGTTTTTTTTTTGTGTGTGTCTTGTTTGTTTTTTATTTTCAAAAATCTCTGTGTGCATGCCACAGTGTGTACAATTATGGGTGGTGGAACTCAGAGGACAATTTGTGGAAATTGGTTCTCTCCTTCCACCATGTACAGCATGGGGTTTGAACTTATGTCCTGGGCTTGACGGTAAGCAACTCTATCTGCCAAGATGTCTAACTGCCCCCTCATAATGTTTGAGTGAAAATTGAAGCTGTTTCCAGAGTTATTAGAATCAAAGCCTGAGTTCTGATGGCCCTGGTAGGCTAGACTCAGCTAAAAGTCTTCAATAGGTCAATTCCACAAACAGTAGTGAAAACCAAAATTATTCATTGTGACTACTTTAGGGAGAAGGACATAAAGATCCAATGGCACCCTCTCCCACCCTTCCACACTCCCATTCCACCTTCCCAGGTCCAAACATGAGGATTCCCTTGAGATAAACAAGAGTTCTCTGTAGTTAAGCAGACCCAATCAAGGTCATTCGTGTTCACCATCATTTTCTGAGCTCTGCTGAAAAGTGCTCTGACAAGCTGTGAGAGATGTATGACATCTTTCTGGGAGACAGGCTCCACTTCTGGCTGACACCAGATTTCCCAACCTTTTCTTTCTCCCAGCATGAGAGATTTCTGAGTCAATTCCAATCTTTTGGATTGTATTATCTCAGTAGTTTGACAGTTAAGAGGAGGGGTACTCCTGTCTGATTGGAATAATTCCATTCCTGCCAAGATGTTTACATTGCTGGTGTTTGGGGCCCCAGTGTCGAGGACGTGGAAAAACTGGTATGTTGTGCCCAGGCTAAATCTCCTGTCATGTTGTCATGTGTAGGGAATGCACATTGCCATATATGTCCACAATCCCTTTTCTTTGCTAATTTTCTTTGTACAATGGATTAGGGGTGTCCATCAACACAGTGAAAACATGACTGGTCTTTTAATACTCAGAAGTGTGCAAGAGTCAAGGGGAAAATATTGGAACTCTGATCAGATTTGTTACTGTCTTTTTTTTTTTTTTTTATGTATGTAGTGTTCTACCTGCATGTATCCCTGAAGGCCAGAAGAGGGCACCAGATCTCATTACAGATAGTTGTAAGCTGCCAGGTGGTTGCTGGGAACTGAACTCATGACCTCTGTTAAGAGTAGCCAGTGCTTTTAAGCTCTGAGCCATCTCTCCTGCCCTTGTTACTGTCTTGAATAACCATTGAAATGAGACTGATATTTTTAAACTTATGAATTAAAAAAAATCAAGGCTACTGATTTGAAAGCTCTCTTTAGTTTGATTATAAATAGTGTGGCTGTTTGTTGTTGTTGACCCCAGATAGATTCATCTAGGAAGGGGGAATCTCAATCAGAAAATATCTCCATCAGAAAATATCTCCATCTGTAGGTACTTCTGTGGGGCATTTTCTTAATGATTGATGTGGGATGACAAGGCCCATTGTGGGTGGTGCCATCCCCGGCAGTGGTCTTGAGTTGTATAAGAAAGCAAACTGAGCAATCCCAGAAAGTAGCTTTTGTCCAGGGCTTTTGCTTTGAGTTCCTGCCTTGGCTCCCCTATTGATGGACTTGTAACCTGTAAGCCAAATAAACCTTTTCCTCCCAAGTTGTTTTGGTTAGTGGTTTACCACAGCAATAGAGAAGCAAACTAGGACACTGGCCGTGACATTTATTTACTAAATGGGGATGCTTTTGAGAATGAAAGGTGATTGCCATTAAAAGTTTTACTTCGAGAGAGATGTAAACTGGGACTGCCTTGAGAAGACCAGGTGTACCAGTCCCTTGAATTTTAGAAAATGAAATAGGAAGACATTTTTCTTTTTTTGGGTGGTGGTGGGGGGCTGAGGCAGGGTTTCTCTGTGGCTTTGGAGGCTGTCCTAGAACTAGCTCTTGTAGACCAGGCTGGTCTCGAACTCACAGAGATCCCCCTGCCTCTGCCTCTGCCTCTGCCTCTGCCTCTAGAGTGCTGGGATTAAAGGCACCACCGCCCGGCAGACATTTTTCATTTCTGCAAGCATGTTTGATTTACTCAGCTTTTGGTCATAGGGTTAAGGTTCTGTCAATGTTTTCTCCCATTCTTCTGAAGAAATAACAAAAGATAAGCCTTTTGTTAAGTTACTTTTCAGAAGATAAAAGTGGATGTGGCTGTGGATACCTGTAATTTCAGCTTTTGGGAGGCAGTGGCAGGAACATGAAGAACTCAGGGCTGACTCAGCTTTGTAGTGCGTTGGTGACCAACCTGGGTTACATGAGACCCTGTTTCAAAAAAACAAAACGATACAAAACAAACAACAAAAAAGACAAGTGATGTGTAAAAAACTGAAAAACATAAATGTTTATGATTAGCCCAGTAGTTTCCTTTCAGACAGAAACACTAACGTTATAGTAAAAGTTAAAACAAATGATCAGCCAGGGAGCCCCTGCCCCTATTAAAATAAATAATAAAATGAAATTAAAATAAACTCGTATCTCCCGAAAGTTCTTCCCCATGGAAAAATCGAATTTTGAGGAAGAAGTGTGTCTTGGGAGTCTATATAAATGCGCATTTGTACACATAAGCCAGAACAAGTCTGGAAGGACACTCAAACGATGGCAGCGTGGTTGATAACCACGCCCACCGAGTGATTGATCAGTTACACCTGCACTTCGGACCTGCAGCGCTTTTGTCCTAATTAACTGTCTTGTTAGCAGAAGATTCTCGGTATATGAAGATGGATGACGTCACAGAAGAGGGTGGGATTTGTGGGCGGTGCGGCCTCCTGGGGGCGGAGTCAGAGAGGGAGGGGGGCAGGGCGCCGGTCGGGCGTGGGACGCGCATGCGCGGCGAGGGGGCGGAACCGGGGCGGGGCTGTGCGCCGTGTTCTGAGTGAAGGCGGCGGCAGGGTTCGGGCTCGGCGGGGACAGCGGGTTCGGGTCTGGGGTGGACGGGGCCACCGGCCGGAGCAAGGCGGCCAGAACCCGTGAAGTCTGGGCCAGTCCTCAGGACCTGGCAGTGACCGGCAGGGCCGAAGCCAGGGCGCGGGGCCGGGAGGACGGAGGCTGGGGCTGAGCGAGTGCTCGGGTCCGGGCACGCCAGGTAGGTGGGCCGAGCTGGGCCGAGCTGGGTCGGGTGGTGCGGGTTTGAGCTGAGGGGCTGGGCGGCTGGGAGGAGACACTGGGGACCCGACCGGATGGCGCCCGCGGTTGTCATGGCAGTGGTACAGCCTAGCGGTTCTCAGGCTGCGTCTTTGGAGAGTGGTCCTAGACTTGCGGTCCCCTTGCCTTGGGCCTCTTGGGGAGCTGTAGGATGCTATACTTTGCGCCTGCCCTGTGCATCTCTGCTGGATCCCGGGCATCTGACGCTGAAGGCCTCGCGGGTATCTCCGGTGTCAAAACACCGGGTAAAAATAAACATGCATCTTGGTGGAGGACACCGACTGCATCCTCGCAACTCTTCAAGCATTTTCTATCCGCGCATCGTCCTGGACAGGCTCTCCCTCACCTTTGCTTTTTTTATGTATTTTATATCCCTCTGCTTTGCTAGTAAGCTGATTGAGGCCTGAGAGGTTTGCAGGGATCCGTGGTCATCTTTTGCAAAGCCAGTCATGCATGTGTAGGCCACTGAAACACTCAAAATGTCAGACACAAATTTATATCTTTGTGGGCGAAGGAAGGGAGCCTTAATGGGCCTTGGCTTCTCTTGCCCCTGTCGCTTGCCCTCTGACATTACATAATGGTGGGTTCCTCCTGCCTAGAGTTGACAGCTCATGAAAATGTCCCTTTGGGTAAGAAGGAAGTATATAGGCCATTGCAAATCCCATCTTCTTGTCTTTCGCTTTGCCTCTGAATGTGTTTGGTGTTGAGAGGTTGTCTGAGAGTATAAAGTGATTTGTCACCTGCCAGTTAGCGCATCTGAGCCAAGAGAATGGGGGGTGGGGTGGCACCGAGGTTGGGGTGTTGCAGTGATATTTTGCTTGGTTCACTCCTGTGAGCCAGTAGGTTGTGTGGACAATGGGGACATCACAGGGGCAGAGTGGGCTGATCTGGGTGTGAATTCTGAGGGTCCTGTCACTTGTTAACTCAGGTTCTCATTGTTCTCATCTCTAAAAGGTGAAAACTGAACCTCATTTGCTGAGTTTGTTTCCAAATCTAAGTATGAGTGTTAGGCAGTGAACAGCTATAGATTGTCCTACTTACTTAGCCTTGTCTTTGGTTGAAGACAGGAAATTTTGTCTTTGGATCTGGGCTAAGGCCCTTGTTTGGGGAGTACTTTGAGAAAAGGTTTCTCCTGGAAAATTCACTTCTTTGACGAGAGCTGGTGCTCATTTGAGGAGGTCCGAGTGTTGGTGGTTTTGTACAAGTGTCAAGAGATCCCGATGCTGTTTCTCAGGTAGCCAGCACTGTGTGTGAACAGCATTGCCAGAGGGTGCTCGTTGTGTCTTGTCAACATGATGTAGAAATGAGCCAAAGTCACTGGGAGGGTCATCTTAAAGACTGAGCTTACGGGAATGGATGTTGGACAGAGAGAAGAAAACGAGGGCTGTGTTTCTGCTGTGCTCCATGACAGCATGTGTCATTCTTACTTAGCTACTCAGCCTATCTAGTTACTTTTCATTTGTCATCATCTCAGAGTCTGCTTAGGTAATCCCAGGCTCTCGAGCAGACTCAGAGTTTAGGGCATACATTATAGTTTATGCCACTGTTTTGCAAATTAGGTACTTTGTGATATTACTGTTAAAATGAATGTTAGTTGTTAAAAATCACTTTAAGGAAATACACAGAGGATTTTCATAAATGGTAGAACACTGGAGAAATGGTGTGCTTGTGATAAAGAACTACTGGCCCTACCCAACTGCCTACCTCTAGCTAGAATTCTCAGCTAGCCTCCATGAATGCACCAGAAGAAAGGACTAGGAAAGTACTGGGGACCAGGTAACCCCCATCCCCACCCCTATTATGGTTTAGCTTCTCAGGAACTCAATAAGGCAGAATGGAGGGGGGAAGCTTCTCATCCAGCCAATTTTATCTTGGTTTGACTTTTTAATGAGCAACTCCTCCTTAGCTTCCATATTCCAGAGAAGTTCTTGGAATCATCGGCTACTTACTTAATGATGTCAGGAGACTTTGACTTTCACTGAAGAAGTAAACACAATTCTGTGGTAGAGAAAGCTGGATTATGTTTGTGCTTCTTTTGCAGAACTTGATTGATGAGCAAGAGACTGGTCCTGGAGCAGAAGCTCTGAGCAGAGCATGTGTTAGGAAGACCAGTATTAACCAACCCCTTGCAGGCTTGCTTCACTTTGCCTGTCTCTCAGTTCTTAAAAGAAAAGGCCATCAGCTGGGCAGTGGTAGTGCATGCCATTAATCCCAGCACTCGGTCTGAGAGTTTAAGACCAGTCTGACCAGCCTGGTCTACGAGAGCTAGTTTCAGGACAGGTTCCAAAGAAACCCTGTCTCGAAAAACTTAAGAAAAGAAAGAAAAGGCCATCATGAACCCAAGCCTCAGAAACCCCTGGAGTGCTCTTAGATCTCTTAACTTTTTTTTTTTTTTTTTTTGTATATTGATGTCCTTTCAGCAATTCTGTAAGAATAGTATAAATATAAACAATTTTTTGGAAAATTTCGTCCAGGTTCTCCTAATGTTATCATTTTGCTACAACTCTTCCACTTCTTTCATTTTCATGTTTTATTTATTTATTTTTTTGTGGCCCCAATCTCTCTTAACTAGTGTATGTTTGAAGACTACTGATTGTTTAAGATAATGCCCTTTAATTTGGGCTTCCCAATAGCTGGATTGAGGTTAGGTACTTCTTTCAGGAGCAGCAGAGGCTGGCAGCCTTGTCGGCTGGGCTCAGTGTGAGGCAGATACTGCTGACTATTTCATTAAACGATACTAGACTTGTTAGCTTTGATTTCTTGATTAGGGTGGTATGGGCCTCATTGAAAAGTTGCATCTCCCCCTTTGCGATTAATATGTGTCTCGTAGGGATGCAGGACACATTGCTCCTTAGTCTTCCCAGCCTCAGCTAGAACCCATTGGTGCCTTGTATCTATCTGAATCTTAGAGAGTTGACATGGGGTGGGGGTGTTCTAATTTCCTGTTTCCTTCTATGTGTATTAGTTACTGTACTAAAGAGGACATCTTTAATTTTCCCTAAAATGCACTTACTTTTTGATTTACATCTCTGGTCCCTGGAAATATTGCCGTATTCATTAGACTTCAGTCAGTTGCAGTCATGATTTCTTTATTACTCAGTGTCCCAGATTTGGCCTTTGGGAACAACTTTCTTTGAACATATTCCCATCATTCTTTAAGGGCTTCTTTTCTATTCTGGCACAAAATCTTTGAGACTCAGTTTGTATGTTCCTTGCCCCAGCCTCAGAACCAGTTGTTTTCAGAGCTCTGTTTCTTTCATGGAGAGTGGCTTTAGACTCCAGAATGCCAGAAGTAGTTGTGCAAGTGGAGGTAGTGTCATTGCATTTATTTATATATGTGTTTGTAGTGTAGAAGCTCAAACTCAGGGTTTCATGCCTGTCAAAGAAGCCCTCTGCCATTAAGCCACAGTGCCAGTCCTTGTGTCAGTGCCCTTTGACCTTTTCAGTGGACTGCTGCTCTTATTAGAGCAGGCAAGGTGGCTCAGCAGGTAGAGGGAGGCACTTGCCTCATAGTCTGACAGCTTGAGTTCCATCCTTGGTGACTCAAAATAAATTAAGATGTAATGTTTACATTGTTCACATAAATGTAAATATAGTCACATTACATACCCTTTTCTCTGATTTGCTTTTTCAATTTCTTGCTGTGTTCTGGAGCACTGTTTGTGTACTGACATGATGAGTTTACTCAGTTTTGGAAGTGGGGACCCATATTCCAGAGTAGGGGTGTGCTGTAACTTATTGAACCATCTTGTATTGGTGGGCATGAAGGTCCTTTCCAATTGTCTGCTGTAAAAAATACATATGGACCAGGTCCCTTTGGCGCCTACCTTCCAGTCTTATAGGCCCCTGTTAGCATCAGTAGGACAAGGGGTGATGGTGAATCACAGTTTTGCTAAATTACACCCCCAAGAATAACACTTCATTAGCTCACACCCTTCCATTATTTGTTTCCCTGCAGCATTGACATCTTAAATTTGCAAGTTTAATGGCCCAAAAGACATTATTCTTTTAATTATGTTTCTCAAATGGCCAAAATCATTGAATTCCTTTCTGTGTTGAGCATTGTCTGTGGTTTCTCATACTAGGTTGGTCTTATGTTACTAGATATGGTTTCTTGGCAGTTTTAAGTGTGAATTGTTACCCAAGGAAAAGGAACCCAACCTTTTCTGACCACACTACATGCTAGACCTAGGCCATCTCTCCCCAGGCAGCCTCTGAGAGGTCTTGTCAAGTGGTAAGTGTCAGTTGTGAAGAGACACTAAGGGGAGGCGTGGTCAGGCACCTGCGAGATGGTGTTGACAGAAACCAGGTGCGGTTAGAACCAGGTGTGTCTGCCTCTGGTGCCATTTCCGTTAAATCACTATTTCCATTCAAGGGATATAAGATTTGCTCCTAGAACTTAACAAGCTCTTGAGCTGGACTTCCAGAAGCTTCCAAGTAGCTGTGTGACTTTGGGTAAGTAGCATACTCTTTATGCCCATTTTTCTCATCTGCAAAACTGGGCTGATGATGTTTGTCCGAAGCCCTGACCCGCATTCAGCCTTTTGTTATGGTGTTGTTCAGTGAGGATCCCCTGGCGAAGGCCTCAGAAGTAGGAAGGTGAGTTATATGGGTGGGGCTGGGTCGAAGGGGCTCATAATAAAAATGAGGAGTCTGTTTTCTGGGACAGAGTCAGGAAGACAGGTGTCCTGTGATCTCTTGAAGGAGGGGTGAGGATTCTGGAGGAGGAAAGTATATGCCCCTGCCAGTTTCCTTCCTTGGCCTCTTCTCTCTCTTCTTCATACCTGGAACCCCTCCTAATCTCAGTTTCCCACAACACCCTCTTGTACCTGATTAGAAAGGGTGATGAGGTCTCCTGAAAATGTCCTGTGTGCTTGCCGCTCAGCATCTCTGGCCACAGATCCCCTTGCATCTGGGGTCGGCTGTTAGGGAAGCTGTCAA